CTGCTGAATTACCATTTGCTGCTTCAGTTGAGATCTATACTTCCCACTTCTACTGGCTTAGCTATGTCAATTAGATTGCAGTGAGATGTGATCTCACTGAGTAGCGCAGCTATACTGGCAAAAGCCTCTTTGAAACATAGGAATAAATTGCAAAACTGTAGTTTTGTTAATAGCTTATTTGGCTTCCAAAATAGGAGGAAAGACTGAAATAAGCTATGTTAGAGGAACTTTTTTTTTTTTTTTTTTCCAGCTATTTCCTCAGACTGCACCGAGCCCTTTCCTGTATAGTAGCTCATATAGTTATACTGGCGGAATCTCCCAAGTGTAGAACTCATTTGAGTGTTTGCTGTTACTAGACTGGAAAGGCTTTGTATTATTGGATTCTATTGTCAGGCACCAAGTCCTCAACTGTAGTAAATCAGTAGAGTTCCAGGGAAGCTGAGAATGTGGCACAAAGGCTATTCCAGGGAAGGTAACAACTTTTCACTTCTATAGTGTAGTGATCAGAACAAAGAAAATCTCTGGTTGAAAACAACTTTACATCTGAAAGTAGATGCTGCTTCTCTAGTTAGCCTCCAAATAGCTGTTATCACCATTTATGCAGCTCACTGAGTGGCTTCTTGGTTATTTGATCTGACTGTCTGGATTCGATCTGGATATTTTTAGCAACAACCCTCCAGGTCTTAGCTTTATAATGGACTGATGTCCTCCAGCATGTTAGGTGTCTGATGCAATTCAGGTGACATATTGATAGAGCAGAAGGAATATGTTTGCCTAGCAAGTATGAGCAAGGATTAAATTCACTTTCTTCTATTTTCATTTTAGGTAGCAATCAGCTTGGCTCTATTTATGGCCACACATCTGTGATGACGGGCAGCCTCTTAGATGATCACCACTGGCACTCCATCATCATAGAGCGCCATGGCAGAAATATCAACCTCACCTTGGACAGGCACATGCAGCATTTCAGAACCAATGGAGAATTTGATTACCTAGACCTTGATTATGAGGTGAGCATTCAAACTGACTTTCTAAAGAGATTTGAGTTAGGAAGAAAAAAACTGGTACCATTTAAGATGTTTTGGTACCTTTTATACGTTTGCTTTGATTATTTTTTTCCTTAGACTTCCTCATTTTTATCTTTCAAACAATTCTCCCTTTACCATAAACATGTTTTTTGTCTATTAATCTACCAGATTCTAAGTTTGACCAGAGCCTTTGTTGTAAGCATCATATCAATGTTTTGCTTTAAAATTACAGAATGACAGAAGGATTGAGGTTGGAAGGGACCTCTAGAGATCATCTAGCCCAACCTTCCTGCTCAAGCAGGGACAGCTAGAGCACGTGGCACAGGGTGGCATCCAGCTGGATTTTGAAAATCACCAAAGAAAGAGACTCCACAACCTCTCTGGAGATTTATATTATTTAGCAAGTTAAGCATATGCTACTTTTAAAATCTTTTATGCCAGCTGCTGTAAGTGATAAGTAAATAAAAACAAATCATAACATCTGTTATCCTGCTCAGGTGATCATTATGCACTTGAGTTGTTCTGAAGTGATAGTTAATATTCATTTCTAGAAAAGGAAGTAAAGTAGAAGCTTTCCACTAATATGAATCTTGAGTTTGCTTTATTTGGGTAAGGAGGTAAATCCCTACACTTTGATAAATAAGCCATCAATAACATCCCTTTTCTAGAGGAACAGTAAAGAGTTGGAAAAAAATAGGAAGCATTCTGTTTCATCAGTCAGTTAATATGCAAAACTTGTTTTTAGTCAAATCAGGATTATTTGTTTAACTGCAGTCTGGGTTCTGCTGCTGTGAACTTTTTGCTAGAACTGAACTTCTTCAATTGTTTTAAGTTGTTGTATTAACAGAAACTTCAGCATAAGGACCAGTATCACCTTTGTACAGTGATTTTCTTCCACTCTTGACTGTTACTTTAATGTTGCTGGTTGAGCCAAATATGTATTTTCATCCTTACAGCTTAGTAAACAGTGACAGGAGATCAAAATGATGTAATGCAGTGACGTTTGAATTGAACTTTTATATCGATTTTTTTTTTTACAAACATTGTTTTGATCAAGAATATAATATGAATGTTTGGGGAAAATGGCAATACAATTGTAAATATAAACTGTGCATTAGTGAAATTAGTGAATCAATAATGTATTTACATTACGATAAATATCTATTAAGGCCTTCTTTGGTAGTAGTAATAAGATAATTGAATTGGTACTACTCATGGGGCACCTGAATATGTGAACTGAGCAATCAAAACTCAGATAAATGTGTTTTATGAAAGATTATCAAGTGACTGAACAATAGAAAAAGTTAGGCTTGAATGCCATAAGCAAGAGTTGGGCAACATATTACATAGTGAATGTGTTGTGTATAATAAATTTACTCAGAAGCGAGTGTGCGATTGAGGATCCACCTTCCCTCTCTTCTGTGACATTAGACACATCACTGGTAGTTCTCAAAGGTTTCGGTTTCCATGTACACAGCTCTTCATGCTTAGTGGAAGCTCTCTGAATATGTGTGGCTGTGTGTTTTTGTGGTTCATGAAAAGACAAGCCTTGAGCTGTTCTGCTTATTTTCCTCACAATTAACTGTTTTTGGAGGTCAGTCATCACAGACATTTAAATGTGTGGTCCTTATGATAAGTTAATCATAGTAGATAAACCTCAGAAAATCCGAACCTTTACATAAAAAAAAGAGAGTTCAAAGGTTAATCTCTTTCGGAAAAAAGATAAGTAAGCACAAAAGAGAGCTAAACATTAGTTCTGATTGCATTTTCAAGGAGAAAAACAACAAAGCAAAGCAAAAAACTTAGCAGTTCCTTTTGCCTCACTGTCACGGTGTATGATTTTTTGCATTTTTTCTCCTATCCACATTCTTAACCTTTATATTTTAGCCTCTTCAGGCACATGAAAAAACAATGCACAAGCCAAAGACTGTTTACAGCAGTTAAAACGTTAGGGTCACATTGTCCAGTTGGTGGAAAGTGATATAGCTTGTCTAAAGTCAGGTAATGTCAATTTGTAATACTCGAGGATATGTCCACAAAGCACTTTAAAATAGCCTCTGTGTGCTATTTTTTAAAGTTTTGTTTTTCGGCTGTACAACATTAGTTCTTCCTAAATGATAAGTCAAAGGGTCCTCACATTTACATAGAAAGTGGTATAGTGGTATATAGTTATATAGTTGGTATATAGTGGTATATAGTGGTATATAGTTATTATCTGTATGTTATTGGTAGTGGAAGGTGATCTTCCTAGCACTGTGTCATATATATGACTGCATGATTATATAAGCTCTTCTTGGCTAAGCAGATATATAAGCACTAAAGGAAGTCTGACTGGAGCCCTCAGCTGCTGTGTCTCTGAGAGACAAAGCCAAGTGAATGATTCACATTGGATCATCTGGCTAATTGTATGTCTCCTCTTGTTTAGAGAGGTAGTGGGATGGACATGATTTATTCCTGGTTCTTTATTTGAAATACATATTCTTCAGAACCAATTTTAAGAGCCATCCATATATGAACAGCTCTATGATGTCTGTCTGCTCTCTGTTTGGATGAGTTAATAACACTTGGGGTTTACTAGCATAAATATTTGCATTCACTAGTTCATCGTATCTTTTTTTTTCTGATTTTTTTTGCAGTGTGTATTTGATATTTTGTTTTTCTGGAAAGTCGTTATGCCAGCAGTCTCTGTTTGAGTGTTCAAAGAAAGCAAACACATCTACAGCAAATTTGTTTAAAAATTACAACAAGTTTGCCCTCCAGTAACTATTTACAGTTTCTATTTTCATTCAAAGATAACCTTTGGAGGTATGCCTTTTTCTGGGAAGCCAAGTTCTAACAGTAGGAAGAATTTCAAAGGCTGTATGGAGAGCATCAACTACAATGGTAATAATATCACTGATCTTGCCAAGAGGAAGAAATTGGAACCTTCTAATGTGGTAAGAGCATAATTTAATGGTCAGCTATACTTCTGCATGGTAAAGGAGACGACAAGATTTGCTAGTATAATGAATATCCTTGGGATAGACTGGAGTGATTTAATATACAAAGCATATTTTTTCACATACCTGAAGATCTTATTTTATGTGCCTTTATGGCTTTATTTTTTTAATGTCTCAGAGCATTTTCCTGTTGGGACTTCTGTTTCATCTACTGCCCTTTGGTATCAGACAGCCACTTTTTAAAACAAGCAGCTGGAACAATAAATATTTCTTTCTTTTCCTCCTAAATTGCAGTGAGTCAAACCATAGTCTTAAACCAATTGCAGCTTTGTCTTGGTTTTGCAGCCTAATTTCTTCCACTCCTGCAAGGCTAATTAGTAAGTGGAAAGTGATGGAAAAGGGATGATTCTAGAGCTTTTGCTAGTAGCTCTGGAAAACTTCAAAATATCAGACTATGACATCATTACTTTTTAATATCTAATTAGATTTAGTAATTCTGATAGCTGATGTACATTTTATTCTTTCTATTTTTTTCCTCTTGTTTAGGCATACAGGTTTGCTCTCATGCTTAAGCGTGTGGCTTTATGGGCAGCCAGGTCATGAAAGTATTTTTATTATTATTATTATTATTTTTGTCTTCAAACACTCCCAAAATTATTTGGTGGCATACACAAGCAGTGTGGATAGGAAGCAAATGTCTTGCTGCCATGAGTTTAGGATGACTTGAGTAAATCGTTCAGGGCTTTCTTCTGTTTATAGGCATCACAAAGTCGCGCTAGCAATATATATAAGTCTGCATTTGCTTTCTTCCTTATATATTATAGAGTAAAGATTACAGATCACAGATGCAGTGATCACACTGCACGGTGTTGATTGCCATTTGTTTACTCTTTGGTTAATAGTATAAAACCTAAATATGATTATGTGAGCAATATCGCTAAATGATGAAGGTAATACGATAATTTCCCTTTTTTTGGTGTAAATCCCAAGCCTATAAAAGCTCAATTATGTTCTATAATGCAACCTAATATTTACAACTTTTTCTATATATGAGTTTCTGTAGCATTATTGAAGGCAATTATGCATGCTCCAGAGAGAAGACTTAGCTTCTCGAGCTTTTTCAGCCTTGTCACACAGAACACTGGATCTTTGAAATTGGTTCTGAATTACCTGTGACTCTTGCAAAAGAAAGAGTTATTGCAGGGCAGGAAAAAAAAAAAAAGTTTTTTTGAAACTTTGAAACTACAGCACAATACTATATATGTTATATATATATCATAGCCATTAGCTCCTCATGCCTGATTTGGAAATGCATCTTGCACAGGAGGAAACTTTTACCAGTCCACTGCAAATTAGTAAAAATTATTTATAAAGCTCTTGCTTGAACAGACTCATAGTTTCCATAGCTAAATACCATTATTTCAAAAATAAGTGATAACTAGAAAACCTACAAAACCTTTGATTTTTTTTTTAATTTTATTTATTTATTTTATTAAATTCTGTTATCTCTAACATGAGAATAAAATTCACATATTTACCCTTGGAAATGTTGGTGCTTCATCAAGAGAATTATGCCATGCCAGTTTAATATGATGGTTCTTTTGATTTCTGGTTCTGAGAATGCTTATAAAAATAGAAATGACTTTTGTTTTCAGTGGAATTAGTTACATTGCCTCAACTCTTCAAAAGCAAAATCAATTTTACTCGAATAAACATGGATTTTTATGTTTCTTACAAAAGCTTCTTTTCTCCTAGTTTTGAACCTGATTTAGCATGAAAAATAGACTCTGTTGAGACTGCTGTTAATCATGTTTATGATGATAGTGCTTAAGCAATCCAACCAGGATCAAAGCTCCATTTTAGCAAATACTGTACAGACACATAATAAGAGGCACCCCCGGCCTTAAGGAGTTTATTATTACAGTTTATTATTACAGGACAGACAAAATGTCATGAAATGTACATTACAAGCAAAGTATTCAATATGATGATGAGATTTATTGTAGGTGAAAAAGTGAAGAAGAGAGGAAAGAAAGAGATAAAAGAGGTGCAGGAGGGAAGGAAAAATGTTGTTACGGGCATATACATGGTTGAATTTCAGAAATCAAAAGGGAATTGAGAAGTTAAGTTTATAGAATGAAGAGACCTAGAGAACCAAAGATGATGATCTTAATTTGTCCCTGAGCAAAAATTAAAAAAATGTTTAGGTCTCAAAAAGGATTTCTTTAATTTATTCACAATATGGAAATAAATATGAAAAAGCAATTCTCAAATTTCCATTTGAAATGTAAATTTCATGTATTTACATTTGGAATGTAAATAATAAAGTACAGCATTTTCTTTAATAATGTATTCTCTTCAGTTTTAGAGAGTAACCATAAGGAAAAAAAAATCTGTCAATCTGTGATATAAATGATGGCAATGAGTCTTTGGGAAAAGGGAATAAGATGGATGTTATTGAGCAGTTGTTGTTGCCCTTATTAGTGGAGCCTGATTTATTTTCATAAAAGATAAATGAGACAACTGTTAAACATACTGAAAAGGGAATGTCAGGAAGAAAGGACAGTCGGCACATAGAATAAAAGTGTCTGTTTTTGTCTTAAACCAAGTTACAAACAAGAGTTGGCAGTGACTAAGTAGCTCAGTAGGTGCTATCTCATTTGCAGCTTGACCCAAGACTAAGACAGAAACAAGTAACAAGCTTGCAAGCAACTCTCCTCGCCCATCTTCTATGTTCTCTCAAAGAATAAGCTAAGGGGTTTGTGTGTGTATGTGTGTTTTTTTTTCTTTTTTTCTTTTTTTTTCCCCAATTTGTTTGTTTATTTTTTGACATTTAGAAGCATAAAATGTAACAAATCAGGTAAGACTTTTGTTAACCTGCATAAGTTAAGAGTATCAACTCCTCTACTATTGAGAAGAGGGGAATAGAACTGGCAGCCGACAAGTCCAGAGAAATTCTAGTTTAGAAATTTAATTTCCTCATCAAAATTTCCTTCCTAGAGGTATATTTAGGGAAAGCAGCTTGGATGCTAATCGTGGTTAGTTTCCAAAGAATGGACTCGCTCATTTTTTAATGCCTGTAACATCGAAGTGTTCAGAAGGCTAATATTTGCTTCCCTCCCTCCTTAAATCCACTACGTTTCACCTGCTTCTGCAGCTGCTCTGCCATATATTATTCCGTGCACTCATCACAAACTGAAGAAGCGTGTTTTCTTTAAATTATTTATATTAGACAAGCAATATTTTAACCTGCATAGATGAGTAATAAGCTATTTTGAGAAAGATAGTGAAATAACATGATAAACATTAGCCAGGGAATATTGCCTTTACTGTACAATCCATCCTGAGTTAACAGGTATTTGTAGTTTTAATAAACTCATTACCTGTCTTTTGGGAGCTGTGAATTCCGTTAGTGGTTTTATGAGTTGGGAAAGATTTTAAAACCCGGTTGCATTTCCACAAGGGATAACATCTGAAGTAGATAGACACAACTGATTTATACAAGGTAAATATCAAGCTAATTTGCAAGACTGAAGATCATGATGTAAAGCTCAAGCTGCCCAAACTAAGTTATTTTCACTATTTCCCTTCCACTGTATCATTAATAATTCTTTAATAAGACCAACAGTTTCAATATAAATGTGCAGTATATGTTTCACTTTGAAATGTCATTGCCTAGTGAATTATTCAGCAATTCATTCTGAACCCACTCCACAGAGAAGGATCCCTTTCTCTTTGAGAACAGGAGTGCTTTATAGAGACAAGCTGCAGATAAATTCTAACTCATGAGTAGAGTAATCTGTATCCAATGTGCTTTACTTAAAAGAGGAGCCTTCTTCTGAAGTAGAATCATAGAGGGAAGTCGTAATCCAGCCAGATTAAATTGAATCTCTCAGTAGGGAAAATGTTGTTTGGGTAGCTAGCAGAGAAACAAGGATTATTACATTCCTCAAAAAATTTTCTATGCAGTTAGAGTGTTCATGATAAATGATTCCATGGATGTGAAAGCGGATTTGAATGCATTTGTTGGCATTAACATTAGTAGGTGTTATACATGCAAGTATCCAATGTATTGGGGAGACAGGAGAGTGTCAGATGTGAAAGCCTTCTTGTTATGAGGAAATCATTTGTTCCTTGCAGTTCCTTTGTTCCTTGTCCTCTCTGTGACAGAACTGTTAACATGTCAGGTCTTAGGAAATTCTGTCACTCTCTTCCTTGTATTTACATAGGGCTGCCTTGTCTATGGACCAGGAGCTATTTCTACTCCATAGGATGGCTCTTACACTGAGAAGGTTAGCAAAGGTTTACAAAGGATATTTCAGACACTCCAGACTTTTATTTTTAATGTATGATTTGTAGTTTACCAGAAGTATTCTGCAGCAAATCTGGAAAACTTCAGATTAAAACTATTCAAACAAGTATGTTGACTATTTTGATTCAATAATTAATTGCATAAAATCTCAAAATTAAAAACTCGGGACAACATCTAGACTGAGGCCAGACACACCTTCTAGTAGCAGAGGAGCTATGTGAAGGTCCTTTATGCAAAAAGTAGTTAACATTGATACTGTAATATAAAAGCTTGCTATATCTGTTTTAAAGAAAGATATTCCTAAATCCTTGAATATATTTTGTGAAACACAGGGAACATTCCGTGTGTGTATAGAAAGAGCATGTCTTGTAATCTTTAATAAAGATGGGAACAAATCTTTTACAAGATCAGCATAAAAAAAACTTTTCTTTAGTTCCAGATTCCTGGAAACTTGACTAAAGACAGAAACTGTCTCCCTGATAGTCTAGCTGCTACTCATTTTACTGGCCACTAAAGGCAGAATGTCTGGCAGTAAAACTTGTGGCGCTCTGCATGAAACGGAGGTGCTTATGTAGAATGTATCTAAGAACATGTCTGAAAAACAAAGTGCTAGAGAGACTCTGTTCTATATTTTTTTTTTCATTTGCTTTTGACGTTGAACTACTGTATAATAACCTGAATCTGATGCAGAGGCAGTATCATTCTATGGCCCATAATGATTTAGGAGATGGTTTAAATGGGTGGTAAATACTAAATTCTGATGATATCACCTGGCTCATCTCCTATTGAAAATTATTATTTCTAAAAAGAATTTACTGGGGGCTTCTCCCCAACATGATTTCAGATACAGAGTTCCTGTCTTGCTTCCAGATTCTCTGACTTTTCTCAAAATAAAATTTCCAGATGCATACTGGAATAATTTCTATAGTTCATCAGATAAAATTCTACTTTAAAAAAAATAGTCATGGAATTACCATCTGCTTCAGATAAGTAGATATCTTAGTAAGATAAGAGTTCATCAGATAAGGTAACCTTTAGAAAAAGGTCCCCTTTGCTGCATGATACAGGAGATCTTCAGTCAAAGCAGTCTTCCAGATGTATTCTATTGATGAATTAATATAAGTCAGTTCTGGACAGAAATCAGCTTAGAGGAATACAATAGGTTATAAAATAGCATAGTAAGAGCTATACTCTGTTTACTGTTTCTAAGAGAAAAAGATGTCTGGTAATGCAGCCTGCCACTGTGGTGTCTCAGGAGAAATGTTATGAGAACCAAAGTGAAAATGCTTTCTTGTTAAGTTTTTTCTTAGTTGTGGTTAGACTCAGCTCTTCAGGGCGAAGGCTGCCTCTTACTATGAGTGTGCACAGTGCCTAATATGATGAGGCCAAGGCTTTAGCACAAGCCTTTAGGCAAGGCAACTACAATAACAACAATATAATCATAATAATAATGACAATGTTACTCACACATTTTTACAGGTAACTTGCATTGAATTCAGTAGTCCTTAAATGGAATGAAACCTAGAATGCTTTCTGGATGTAGGTATGAATTTAAAGAAGTCCTATCATTTTGCTTATGTTTTTGCTTTTTTTATGTTCTACTTAGGGAAATTTAAGTTTTTCTTGTGTGGAGCCACATACAGTCCCCGTCTTTTTCAATGCCACCAGTTACCTTGAGGTTCCTGGTCGTCCAAGCCAAGACCTGTTCTCAGTCAGTTTCCTATTCCGAACCTGGAACCCGAATGGGCTTCTTGTCTTCAGCAACTTTGCAGATGGACTGGGGAATGTCGAGGTTGACATAAATGAGGGCAAAGTCAGCGTCCATATCAATGTCACCCAAGTCAAGAAGAACCGAATAGACATCTCATCAGGTAAGTGTTCATTTTTTTAAAAAATGAATTTGCTCTTGTTGGTGTTGTCTAAAGGCATCATGGACTTCAAAATTGGAAGAACTTCTAGGCCGAATTGGAAATTTAAATTGTATTAGTACATTTATTTATTCTAAGCTAAATCCTTTTTTTGTATGCTTTGGTAAAAGAGTATTAAAATAGCTGTTCAGTTTTGACAGAAGAGGGCAATAGGTACACTTGTTGAGAGTAGCTTAATAGTTAAGAAACTCTCATTAAAAGATGTGAGTTGTTTTAACCACAGTGCTGCTAAGAAAAATACCCTGGCGTTTTCTAAGTAAGCTGGAGTAGCAGAGCTTTCAATATCTATCTAAAGAGATTTTAGGAAAACCTGGCTAAAAGAATGACATGGAGTTACGTTTGTTTCTGCAAGGGAAGGTGTTTGTTTCTGAAAGGGAAGGTGTGTGTTTCTTTCAGGTGATGAGTCTTTTGAACTCATTTGATGCTTTCTCTAATTGTACTTTCAGTCTACATATGGACATTTCTGGATCAGCTGTGGGCAATATGGTGTTACCTTAGTCATGTCAATGATGCATTTTCTCAATGAAGTCATGACCTACTGATGCATTTTCTCAGTGAAGTCATGGCCTACTGAGTACCTTCATGAGTGGGAAAATCCAAGGTTGCTTGCAAATGGGCCTAGTTGCACAGATTACTGTAATTACTTGAAGTAGCTGATGCATCAAACTTGTTGATGCCAAAAAATGCCAGCCTTTTTGCCTGAAGTTAGTATTTTTTTTCCAAGGAGCTTATCAAATCTGAAGTATTTCAGCAATATTATTAATAGTTTATATTTATAATTTAGTTTATATTTTATATAATTTAATATAATATAATTTAATATAATATAATATTAATAATATAATATAATATAATCATATAATTTTATAGTTTATATTTATAATTAATGGTTTATATACCAGTAGAGTCTAGAATGAATGAAAAGAAAATCATGGGTTTTTTTTTCTTGCCTATGTTTTTATTTGGTTTGGTATGCAAAGATATAGTCTCTACCTCAATCTGTAGTTTAAACATGGACTTTCTTGAGGAAATGTAAAAGAAAAAAGAAATGAAAATGAACAACGAAAATACTTTTAAGAAAAGTGCATTAACCTCCTCTATGACAATTTTCCAACCAAAGATAAGTCAATGCTGACAGATACAGGCTAGTGTTTGATTGTCTTTGTCATTTAATATAATCTTACAGAGTTAAGCATTGTTTTGGTTATACTGTAGCATTCTAAACAAGAATATTTTGTTAGGCTGCTAGTGCCTCACTGTAAATAGGCATATGTGATTATCAGCCTAATGCTTTCTTAGCTCCTAGCTCTTCTTAGCTCTGGCTACTCCAAATTCAAGTTTAAGCAGAGAAATGGCTACTCTGGAACTTCATCGCAGGTTCCTTCTACCTTTTTGGAACAAGTGAGAATTTCAGTGTTGATTAGAAAAAACACAGGAATTTTAAACTTCATCAATTGTCACTGATTTTGGCCAGTGAATATGTTGCTATGAAAGTGAATTTTAAATTCTGTTTAAATTTCTTTAAAAAATCAATTTTAAAAGTTTAAGGAAATAAACATGTGTGAGGATTGTGTTGCTAGTTCTAGTTTCTGCAGACTCCCCTAACAGTAAAAAATTCTCAGCTATTTTCATTGTTGCAACATAAAATTAGATTATTCCTAATGTTTCTTCAAAGTGAGTCTTTTCCATTTATATGGTCAGTTCACATAACAGTTCAGCAATCATACACAAACACTCATTTTTATAGCTATAATGCTGGCTTTAGTCACTATGTAGCCTGATATCTAAATACTGTGGTTTGGAGATCTTGAAGATTTAGTACTTTCTTTTGTATCGTCATAATAAAAATGTATTCATTGTTTAATTTTGGTCATAAGGACCTTTTATATTTGCATAGTTACACCCTGAAATCCAGTTTTCCTACCCAATTCAGTTGAATATATTGTTTAAGGACAAGTTTTTGTTAGGGACTTTATTATTGTTAAGGCAAATATTTTGATGACATTTTAGAACAATAAAATAAAAGAAATATAGAAGGTGAAACTAAATGAGCTGCGCTTCTAGTCCCATATACTACACAGATCTGTGTATATTACTATCTATAGATTCAGTAAGATGGAGAGTTTTCAGGTCATTGTGAAAAGCATTAGAGACAACTATAAAGTTTAGAGGCAAGAATATGAAATGGTCAGCAAGCAGAATTGGTTGATTGTAATATGAAGAGTTAGAGCTCTAACTCTTAATCTGAGAAACTACGACAGGCTTGCAACAGAGAACTGCAACAGATATATTTAACCAGAATACTTCTAACATGATGAAGTAGACAGAATGGACAAAAAAAAAATATGTAACTGCTGTATAAATACAGTGACTATGAGAAATCTACTTAGTGAAGAAAAGTTTGGATAAATAGTTTACAGTTTGAGAGAGTCATGAGGGAGCTAAGAACCCACTCAAAATTTGTTGTCTTGAGCATATTCCACATATTATTCATTGACAATTCCTATAAATTGTCAATGAAGTTCTGTTTAATTTTTATGCCAGTACTAGCTAATTTCCTTTCTCTAGAGCACAGAAAAAATCAACAACTGGAGAACATCAGGCTTGTACATCTCAGCCAGAAAACTCTGCAAAAACTTTTCCAAAGCCACATGCAAATCCTGTTCAGTAAATGGTGAAACCACCTTTTGTCACAGTTGCCTCCATTGCTTCTGCTTAATCAATTATATGTACTACTTCCAAGAATTGAAAGTCTTTTCTAACCAAGCCAAAGTTTTCTGAAGCTTTCAATAAGGGAAAAAAAAAAGGTAACACACCAAACAAATGTTAAACCGATAAATTGTTCTTAAAAAGAAACTAAAAGTAACATTTAAAATTGTACACCTGAAGAATTATCTAATAGATCATTCTAATAGTATCTTTACTTTTTTTGACTACAAACCCCAAATCCCTGAATGTCAGTAAAGAAAATAAGTTATCTGCCTCTAGAGAAAAGGGAAGCTTTTCACAATGGCAGATTTAAAAATAATCCCTTGATTTATCACACATTTACTGATGCATGTGTTGGCTTCTCATGGATGGCTCTGACCTTTTGCCTCTAAATGTTTTCTGCTCAACTTAGGCACAGCAGGCTCTATGAAAATCTCTTGGATTTCAACTCACAGTACAGAACACAAGTCAATGAAAGGGAATGTTATCTCTTGGCCCAGGTCTTAATGGAGAAGTTTCTAGTTGCATCCAGAATCTTCTGCCATTAAGATGACTTCATCTTCTTGGAGCTTCTTTTTTTTCATCTTCCAACTCTTCTAGTTACTATATCGTTCTATATGCTAGCTGCTGTTCAAGGCTGTCTTTGGTTCATCCTGCCAGCCATAAACTTATTAAAACTTGGGATAAGAATATCTTTTTGTCACATTTACCCACATGAAATAAATCAGCCTTCTCCCCGTGGAATCCTTCTGGGAAGCTTTCCACCTTTCTGTCTTTCTGCCAGATCTCAAGTCATCTGAATTGCAGTTCATCTATATTTTAGACCTCGGGTTAAGATGATGTCCTTGAGGTAATAAAATGTTGCTATCTGACAGATCTAAAATGGTGTTTTTCTAGTGACCATTCCCAGGGGCATTTTATGTCGAAATCAAGAATTATTTTTGCCTCTGTTGCTAAACAAAGGTTTAAATGAGGAGTGGGTATACATAGAGCAAAAGTGTGTTTCTGGTGGGGTGATCATGTTTCCCATCAGATTCTTTCCATATTACTTACAATTGGCTATATACTAAATTTGAAACCTCATATGAACGTTTGTAAGTGGAGTCAGGCACACAGTTTGATCAAGATGAGAGAGAGAAATTCTGTCCCCAAAAGGCAGCGTAATGACTTAGAGGAAGAAGAAGGCACAAACTGAATCAGAACAGTCTAAATATTAGAGCATGATTTGTTTTTTCCAGATAATCAGTTTTGTCTCCCTGTTTCCCTATATATATATATTTATATATACACGTGTGTGTGTGTATATCTATATATATATAAAATGATTGTATGCACAACATGTAGGTACTGATTGGTGTTTGTATTTTTTAGTTGCAGAGAACAGAAACCAGATCCTTAGGTTTTTTTTTTTTTTAAACAAAAAAAACTGTTTTTGTAGATTGGTTTTAAATCTTGGTACAGTACAGGAGACTCGCAAAGTAGTCAGAGCAAGAAATAGTGTTCTTGGCTGCAGACTTTTTCTTTTGAGAAAACTCATGAATTTGGTTCAGGTTTTTATGAATTCTGTTCCATCAGTGACCAGTTCTTCACTGAAGAGCTCGACTGCGCAAAGGCTACACATTCAAAAATTACAGATAGTACCATATGGGGGTGTTTCTGAGTAATGCAACTCGTTCTTGGCTGTGCTGTACCTTGCAAGTATAGGGGAACCTGAGAAGCCATCTAGCATCTGTCCTCTTTGTCTTCCTAAATTTATTTTGGAGTCTGGACAGTTCAGTTTACATTTTTGTCCTCATTTTCCCCTGTGTTTTAGGAAAGGGGTAGAAGTAACCATCTTTGCAGGTCACCTTGCATTTTAACTGTAAAAGAAGAAATAAGATATTTTTTAATAGCTATTTTGGCAATCACTGTGCTACAATGATTTTTGTTTGGGGGTGGAAAAAAAAGCAGACTAGTCGATAGTTACATGAGAATTTTAAATTCTCAGATGTCTACTAGAGAGAGTGTAAATCATTTGAGTAAAGTAGAGCTGAGCAGAGTATTTGGAAATTATTGTTACAGCTGTATTTTAATTTAAATAAGGTTGACAGGAAGCAGAATCATTTACAGCTACTTTCTTGCATTTGTCAACATCAGTTATCACTGATGTAGGTCTAGTCAAATCATTGAGAATTTTGCTTTTGACTTGGATGGATACAAGACAAATCTCTTATGTATAAGGCAAGCTTTGAATG